ACCCTCAGCCTTGATGACAGCTTCTACTCTCGCAGGTATACTTTCAATCAGGTACTGGAAGGTTTCTTGGGGAATGGCAGCCCATTCTTCTCGCAGTGCTGCACTGAGTATTATGTAGGTCCATGAAGCCTGGCATGATGAAGTAGGCGTTCCAAAATATCCCAAAGGTGTTCGATAGGATTCACGTCAAGACTCTGTGCAGGCCAGTCCATTACGTGTAACCACTCTGCCAAAGACCGTGCAGTATGAACAGGGGCTAGATCGTGTTGGAAGATGCAATCGCCATCCCCGAATTGACCTTCAACAACGGAAAGCAAGAAGGTGTTTAAAACATCAACGTATGCCCGTGCCATGATAGTGTTACACGAAACAACAGGGGGAGGGCGGCAAACCCCCTCCATGAAAAACACGACCACACCATAACACCGTTTTGGACGTGTCCGGATACTTTTGATCACATAGTGCAGAAAGAATTCGAATCTTCGCCGATCGCCTGTGTACATTGTTTAGAGCGGGTGACACACATGCTCCGGTTTACCTGTACAGGGAAACGTCACCGGAACGTGTGTGCCGGTCCTAAGGAACGCCAAAAAACTACAATGGCAATAACATTTGAGAACGAGCAGCTTCTTTAGTACCGCCAACTGCCTTACTGTACCGTCACAAAGTTGTCACAAATTGTATGTAAGCTGTGTGTGACAATTTCTAATCAGTGATCACCACATTACGCTGACAAAAGATTCTGCATTTGAGGTTTCCTCTTGTTTCAGAACAGCCTAGGCCATGCTTGCAAAACTCATAAAATATCTAATACTTTGATAATGCATTGAAACATAATGATTTTATAGGATTTGGGTGAATCACAAACCATGAAAGATGATCGTGATTTTGCAAAATCAAAAATAAAGTGCGATGTGTCAAGACTGGGGTATGTAGTCAAAGATCTGTTCGAGTGAGGTGAGTGTGTATACGATGTGAGACGTAAGGTGTGAGGCGTGGCACGTGAGGCATGAAGCGAGACGGGGAGCGAAAGATGAGAGTCGTGAGGAACGAGGTGCGAGGTTTGAGACGTGAGGCGTGAGACGTTACAAGAGGGCGCGATAAGATGCGGGGCGAGAGACGCGAGAGGTGAATCGTGAGGCATGAAGTGAGACGCGAGAGGAGCGGGGCGTGTGGCGGAAGGTATGAGACGTAAGCTGTCAGACGTGAGGCGCGAGTCGTGAGACAAGGGGCGCGTAGCGTGAGACATAAGACGCGAGATGAGGCGGGATAAGGCCTGAGACGCAAGACGTGAGGCCTGGGACGTAAAATGGGAGACGTGGGGCGAGAGGAGCGAGACGTGAGGCGAGAGGATTGAGACGTGAGGCGAGAGGAGCGAGACGTGGGGCGAGAGGAGCGAGACGTGAGGCGAGAGGAGCGAGACGTGAGGCTTGAGACACTACACATAAGGTAAGATACAATTTGCCCAACGTGGGAACCGTGCGCGCAGGTACTTGCACATTGGCCGTTCGTCGAAGCCGGGATGAAGAGGCGGGGGCGGGGGCATGCCCTGATGAATGCAATGAACCGAGCAACATCGCGACGGAACCGGAAACGCGGCCTTCTGCCCCTCGCATTCTGTCGATCCCGCGGCCAACGCGTCGCCAACAATTGGCAGTTCATGCGATTTTTCACTACCTTTATCCATATATTTCATTCAGGTAATGAGATTAAAAATTGGAGGAAATCATACCACTTATATGTCTGAAAAATGATTGTTCGAATCATTAATTGCTCGAGATCTAGAGGGAAATTAAAAAACAAATTCTTTGATATTTGAAAATATACACTACATTTACTAGCAAGACATATGTTCGGCTATTGTTGGCTTTTGTCACTTGATATCGCCTCCGTCAGGGTTCACATATATCAGTAGGAAATGATGGAAGAAAATTTTAGAAGAATTGAATGAAACGTGTTGCTGCCAAACACGAACAGGCACGAAAATATCTGCCAAACATGAAACTAACCTCACTAATGCAAAAGAAATACGAAGTTTCTTTCACACCCATTTCTCTGACATCAAATCACACATAGCTTCCTTCAAACATAACTTTCAGCAACGATGTTAAATTTTTCGCTTCAACCAGTCTCGCATATACGTAATAATTTGAAGTTGTCTGCTGCAGTAGAAAAGTGTGACCACTGCCCGACCTTTTATTTGGTCGAACACTAATCTACTCTGATCATATCCTCTCCGAGACCGATTCACAAAACAAATTCACATCATGATGAACGACAGAGAGGGATTAGCCAGCATATTTATATGATGGATATGATGGAGTACAAGGTTTTACGAATATGATTCAACTTTTTTTACGTCTCAATCTAAATCGGCATCTCTAAACCTGGAGTGCTATTCTGTGCATGTACCAGTTTAAATTAAAATACTAGCGGAACCCATACGATTACATCGCACAGAAGGAAGTGCTGTAGAAAAGAAGAACACAAAATATTGTATATTCACAAACTTGCATTATGATTTATATTTATCAAGATTTTTAAGGCCAGTCAGTATGGACACTAGTTTTCGTGCAGATTGGACGTACAGAAAACGTGCAGACCAGACTGCACGATTTCTGCTTGAAAACGTTTTATGCAGAAATGTGAGCATATTCATTATATTTTTCATGTAGAAAGCTTAGTTTGACTCAAGTAGCGACGGCAAAATTGTTCACTAACCGATTTGTTTACCCAACGCGACGGTAATCGGCAATTTCGATTTTGTGGTTATGTATGGCAAGGTGCAATAGCATCAAGTGATATTGTGATACACAACCTCTTTCCCTATACCCGCCTTCTTATTTTTCTTCTCTATGCTCCTCATGGTTAATTAATACTATAAAATGATCACTCCAAGAACACACACACACAGAAATATCGCCACTGAAAATTCTCGGACGGCAGTTGTTTCCCATTACCTCCAAGCAGTGTCGTATGGTCGAACAAATTCATTCAGGAAACATACAGATCGTAAATGAACGACATTTGGCTTTAATACTTCTAGTTTGAGATCTTGAAGTTTCTGTACAGGAACTGTATGAGAAAATGCAAGAAAACGACCATGTTACTGGCCTTTACACGGATACATGGATATTATTTTGGTCTATAACATCAAATCCTGCTATCAACCTCACCTTAATGCATGTACCAATGTATAAAATTCAATTTCCAAACTCAGTACACCCTCACCTCTTTCGCGTTTTCCTAACCATAAGGTACATTGGATATTTACAATTGATAGTCAAAAACAATCGTTTTAACGATCACACAACATGATGTTCTCTAAAGAAGGGCAACTGCTAATGCCGTCAGTCGCGATACCGATTCTCATCTTTTCAACTGACAGCCAGAACCAAATTCAGTCGATTCGGACGAGTTCAAAATAGGGAGTTTTTGCACCCTTGAACGTTAAAGCACTCTTCTGCAATTGCGCAATTCGAGTCTCGCAACACTGAAGTGTATCGGCGCATGCGCAGAAGATTGATAGTGCTGTCCGTTGTGGCGTGCACAAACTCCCTACTAGCTCCTATAGACAGTCGACAGCAACTATACGGAATGACTACCGATGCCGATCATGGTCGAGTGTAAATAATAGTTCTCGTGGGGGTTGCGGTGATGTGAGAGAAGGGTCACGAAACCATCCTACAACTTTAGACTATACCATAATATTTTTTTTACAGAAAAAGTAATTTAAACAGTAATTCTACTAAGATTTCTATGCACATTTCGAAAAGCAATGAAGTGAATGAGATGGTGGCACTAGTTTTTAATTTTTAACTTTCTCAATACGTGAATCTTCGTTAGAATCACAGCATACAAATTCACTGGAAGAAATAAAATGCTATTCCTATATGTAATTTTCAGCGCATTAATAAAGAGAACCCCGCACTACTACTCCTCATCACAGCGAATTTTATACAACCAGACCAATTTACATGAAACATGTACACATCAAATTCCTCAATTTAGTCCACTTCACTTTTTATGAGCGTTCATACTACTCGCTATAATAGTAGCAACTTAATTTTAACACGAGAGAGGAGAGAGAATAGAGAGAGAAGAGAGGGAAGAGATAGAGAAGAAAGAGAAGAGAGAGAAGAGAATGAGAAGAGAGAAAAGAGCAGAGAGAAGAGAGAAAAAAGAGAGAAAAAAGAGAGAGAAAAAAAGAGAGAAAAAAGAGAGAAGAAAAAAGAGAGGGAAAGAGAGAGAAAGAGATAATGTGATTGACTTGAAATCGTTTAAAGGATTACTATGTGGTGATTTAAATCCTCAAGAAATATACAATTAACTAGGCAGAGGGACAACTCGATCAGCTCTAAGAATGATTCCACAAGTACTAAAGCACGTCCTGGTATGCTCTCCCGGCATCTGTGGTAGTGTAATGCATATAAGTGTAAGTAAAGGATGATGAAAGGATCAGGAAGGGGAAGGAAATATCGCGCGCGGTCCGTGGCCCGTTTGTTAGGGTACTGCTCCGGCATTCGCCTGGTTCGGAGAAACCACGGAAAATTACCGATCAGAGCAGCCAACCTCAAGAATTTCCTCCAGACATCGACTGAATTCGACCTTGCTTGCAAGCTAGGCTCGAAACTCCTGCCCCGTCGGAACCCGAATCTAGGACCTCCTGCTCAAACGCACAGCAGTGACATCAGTTAATGCCCTGAGTCACCTCTCCGGTCCACAACTCACGAAGATCGCGACGTATTTGACCCTCATGAACCCCACAGTGAGAAACAGATAAAGTTGCGCAACCCTTTAACACCCCGTTCGCTTCGCGCCTAATCGAGTGCAGGTAACGCAGTTAGCCGCGGCGTGGAGACGCGCCCGGGCCGACAATGGGCCCGTCACAGCGTGCGTCCTGCGCGGTGCCGCGGGGGCGGGCGCGCCGGGGCGTGCCCCCGGGATAAAAGCGCCGGGCGAGCGCGCGCCGCCCGCTCCTGCCGCCCACCGCCCTCGCCATGGCGCCCGCCGCGCTTGCACCCTCGCCCGCGCCCGCACCACTGCTGCCACTCCTGCTGCTGCCCTTGCTGCTGGCCCTCACCGCGCTGCCCGCCGCCGCGGTGAGTCATGCATTAAACTTCGCTTTGAGATAATTTGCATTTGTATTTAGCCATTAGAAATGCATGCGATCTTTAGCGATTCACCTAAGAGGATATTCAAAGCTGTTCTGGATGCAGCCTCTTTTTCCACTCAGGCTTCCTTGGAATGGCTTCCGACGCGGGTCGGGGAACCTCTCGAGCCTCGCGGGCGGTCCCCTGATGCGCGTGGGGTGTGACTCCCACTTCATCCGACAGATGTCGGTCTCATTAACTATATCCGAGCTGTATGTCTGGGAGACAGTGATATCTCGTTAGGGTGGGATATTGTCGGAGGGATTTTCTTTTGCTGGGCATCCGCCAGGGTTCTTTTACATGCCACACGCCCTTTGAAAATCCACGCGCCTCGGCCGCGACCGAACCCGCACACTGGGGATTCAGAGGGCTGTAAGCTGTCATTATATCATTTCATCACCAGTCATTATATGTTTCGTAAAGGACTATTGGTCTCGGCGCCGTTAGATCCCGCGGTTTCTAGTCGGTCACCTAACCAGGATTCAAAGATGTCTCAATATCGCTTAACCTTCGCGACTTCACGTAGTTAGCGAATTCGGCTTGCGAAGTTGGTTCCGCGGTTGTGGCCTTTCAGTGGAACCATCCCAGCGTTCGCCTGGATGACCAAGGGAAACCACGAAAATCGTAGTCAGGACCTCCGGCCCGGGACTTGAACCCGGACCTTAATAAAAACACTCAAATATTGTTCTTGTTTTTGTGACGTTTCGGCCCTTTGTTGAAATCTTTTTCAAAATTCTAGGGTCCAGGTTGGTTGAAAACACAGATTGATTAATAAACAATCAGTTAACATTTTTATTAAAAAAATGTCATTGTTATAAAAACACTGGTCAAGTATGAATAGTCGCAAATATCAAGCCAACTAGTACGTCACAAGTCATTTTTTAAATTGGTCAAGCTTTCATTACGATCAGGAAACCATTACGATTATAAGTTGATGAGATAGTTCTAATTAATTTCTAGTTATCTCTAAATTAACGTTTTATTCTTATTTTCTTTTGACTTGTACTTCATCTATCTCTCACTCCACCCCACTATCTCGATGGCTCGAGTGCATACATATTGTATATCCAGAATTCCTAGTGTAGAAACTCTCGTGTTTCCAGCACGACATTGCTCCAGAAGTCACTAACATCCCAGATGGCGACGAGTTTGAGCTTCATGCGCAAGTGTGCATGCAGGAAGCGAACGTCACCGAAGGTAACGAGTTTTCTTTTTTGCGTGATATCACATGCAAGAATTAATTATTAAAAACCCTCGTTTTTAATAATAGTGATAATGATAATAATAATAATAATAATAATAATACATAAAAACAATGTTGATCAAAAACCTGTATAAAACACATGAACTCATCCAAAATTTTAAAATAAAAAAGCAGCAATTAGTCCAACAAATGAGACTACATTTTCTGCGATTAAGAAGGTTCTATGAAGTCTGTTTTACAAGTGTAAATTTAGTCATTTCCAAAACATGAACACAAAAGTGACTCTACACAACTACTGAACAAAAATTGGATGAAGAAATGAAGACGTTCTTATACACACATATATACACATGGTAGGAAATTTGGATCTTTTCATTTAAAAAAATTCCATACGGCAGCAGCTCAAAGTGCTAGTTAGTGAAGTGAAATAACACAATCATGGTGCATCGCGAACCTGCGCGTTGGGTTGGAATTTTATAGTTGGGACGTTTCGTAACGTTGGTGAACGGTTTGTGATTATCGAAGCAGTTGGGTCAGTAATGAGCTTGCGTGAAGAAAACAAGTGCTAGTAAGTTCAACTCAAACTTAAATTAAACAGGAACACGCAAAACCTTTTCGAAAATCTGGAAATCTGCAACACGCAAAACCTTGTACCTGACGGAACTTATTTATATAACGTAAAGGCTTTAAAAACTGTATGATGTAATATGGGGAGAAGTGAAATCCACTTCATCTTCGGGGTCAATGACTCCTATATCGATCAGGATTTTCGTCCAGTTACCCTTGATCCATTGAGTATCTGCTGAGATGGCCCCTCGTTTTGTTTCTGGACGTAGCTTCATTATTATCTAGTAGACATAGCTTCATTATTTTTGCATGTTTTTTGGTGCTCTAAAAAACCTACCCTTATTCATACTCAGTTGAACCATGAATAGATGTAGCAACGAGTATTTGTAACAAGTTATGATAATAGGACACGTTCATTCCCATTAAATAAAAACATTCGCAATGGCAAATGAGCAACAGATTGACTCTCATCACATAATGTACCTCCACGTACAAGAATCGACCTCCTGCCATGAGAATTTGGAGAATTATTATTTGAATAATTATTTTCTTCCCTAGCACTACACTGAACTGAAAAAAAAACTTGCACAAATAGTAAAGATTAATTAAAATTGGGAGCATCCCAGCGTTCGCTCTGTGGATAAATGGAAACTGGACGAAAAACCTATTCCATTTAGGAGTCACTGCTTCAGAACCTTAAGTTCAATACTTGTTACAGGCATATTTAGAATGTAGGTATTTTTGAATTAAACAGTTGAATAGAACAGTTTAACAAAATTAAATACTTGTAAATGAACTAAAAATGAGAAGATGAAACGTTTGATATAACCCTCTAAAAAATCTAATTAAAAACTGACGAGGGGTTCATGTGCGTAATTGTTTAGGTGCTGAAGAGCGATCTGGTCGAACTGTACGGTTTTAATTCAGAAAATTAAAGCAGGTTTTAATTATTGTCAGCTAGATGCTTTCCTTATAAAACGCGTCAATATCTTTTACTCCAGTCATGTTATTGTACAAACAAGATTGGACAGTGCAAAACAGAATTACGAAATCAAAACACTGTTGAACTTCTGACCTTAGATAAGCCAAAAAAAATGGGAAATATTAAGCACTTACTGTTTATGAGCTTTAAAGATAAAAATTTAAAGAAACGTCTGTCACAACATGAGTTCAGATAGACAAAATTGACGCACTTGATTGTATATTTAAAATTTTAATTTTGTATTTCAGAAGAGGTGCATGCAGCTTTCGAACAGGATCCTAACCACGTTCCTCAAATACTCAAGGTACGTAATGCATATTAAGGCATATTATGCATATGCGGTAAATTTATTATTGTCTTTTTGAGCAACGTACTGTATTCGCAGTATTTAGTTATTAAAACGTTTATTCTTCTCCGTGAAAATCAACTCAAAAATTCACAAATAATTTTATTTTAAAGGAATAACAAGGCATAAAATAAAAGAATGGTTTTCAAGACTCATCAAATTATTTTGAAAAAATATCTCATACATATTGCCATTTATCACCTTCCTTCAACTTCTGAAACAGGAGTACGTCATTATTTTGAAGAATGCCGCAAGCGTTCCCAAAGAATTCTTGCGCTGAAGCATGAAGCTTTCCCGTTCATTATTTGGCCATCGTTTACAGTGTCCGGACCCTTTCTCTCCGAATCCATATTATAAAACTCTAACTCTTGCTTTGAGTAGTTGCGAGAGCTTTATAAGTATGTTCTGGGCCAAGTTGTATTTACTGCCTCGTATAGAACTAAAACTTTGCTTAGTGATTTCAAGAACTAACATCAGTATTCGTAAAAAATTGCTATTTGTTTCAGTGCCTCTGGGGTTGCATGTACCGGAAGATCGGATTGGTAAGTAAACTGGACTAAAAAATGAATCAATCAGAAAGTATTAATTTCATTATATTAGCAACTTAATTCTGAATATATATATAATATATATATATATATATATATATATATATATATATATATATATATATATATCACACACACACACACACACACACATTGAACTTTGAATTTGAATTGAAATTTCTATTGAAATATTGATATTTGAATTTACTCAATATTCACGAATAGTTTAGGCATTAGTTGTTTAGACAAACTGGCGTGGTGAATAAAAAAAAAAACTTTTTGAGATCAGATCTCAAATTGGGCATTTTTGTTGAATTTAAATTATGTTGTCAATTTGTTGCATTACGTTCTCTATTACTCCGTGAACGCGCATAAGAGTAAGTAATTAGTGGTGCTCCAGAACGTGCAAAACGTGTATTTTCGTTGAAATCTCGAAATCGATTTTCCGCAGCATTAAATTACTTTCTCGACACTACGTTATTACTCCGTATACGCGAGAAAGTAAAATCCTACAACCTTGTAGATAGACGCATGGACGTAGACAGACAAATGGAGGCACCGACACGGTCACGAGGAGATTACCTGATCACTACGTGAAGAATGCGTCCGTGTTGCAGCTCGTGGACGGCGAGGTGTCGGAGGAGGTGCCGGCGGGCGTGCTGGAGGACCGCCTGCACGAGTACGAGGCCCTGCGCTCCAACTGCGGCGACAAGGGTAGGCAACAGCAACGATACACCCCACGTTCTAAAGGGGACAAACGCATTCGGGTGTTGGTGGTGATGATGAGTAAGGCTTTTCAACATTTTAGGGTACATCAACGCCTTAAGTCATTGACGCCCGTGTCTATAGTTATCTCTTTTCCTCTACGACAGTAGTCGTAAAAATTATGTTTAAAAAACAAAGAAAAATACGTAAAAATAATATATATTTAATGTCTAAAAATAAGTAAAATGAAAAGCTCCATGTGAACACTTAAAATTTAATATTTATATTATTATATTTATAAACGGACATTCTTATACGAATTCTAGCAATAAAAAATGCAGCAATTTTTTCGAAAGTTTTGAAAATGTCGAGAGGCTTCATATAAAGTAGCCCTAAATTAAAATTTCTTAATGATTTCCGGAACACAAACATCAAAATTTTGAGGTACAAAATTGCATGAATCTCCTTGCCATCTGCACCAATCTTAACAATCTTCTGAACAGACTTTAATCCTGACTTTAGTGCGAAGTCACAGCAGAAAAGAACTTTGGACACCGATTTTTGGAGAGAAAATTCGAGCTCGTATTGTTGAAATGATTCGAATACTTTTTCCTCCGTTAGTATAGAGAGAGAGAAAGGGGAGGGAGGTTAATTGGGTGCCCCCCCCCCAGCGGGGGGGTGGGGGTGGCGAAGCGTGTGCGTAATGCATTTTTGCAATAATGCGCCCCTGTTGATGGGTCGTTTGATGCAAAGGACTGTTGCGTGTTGCAGTGGCCGCTGCCCCCGACGAGTGCGAGAAGGGATCTGTGCTCAGGGACTGCGCCGTGGAGGTCACCTCCACAGTAACTCCTCCACCCTCCTAGGAGGCCTCAACGTCCATCGTGGCCGGCCGCAACTCAACCTTCGCCACGCCCACACCAACAACCGACGATATATTCCTTTCCGAGCGGACTATAGGGCTCGAACAAAACAAACACTCATAAGAAAGATATTCCAGCGCTAAATAAGGATGCGTTATTTATTGAACTCTTGTAGAACACGGAAGAAATAATTCTATCTTCCGCTAGTCTACGTACGGGAACACGAAAATTGTTCCTTAAATATTTGTGTATGTTCCTTAATTTTCATAACTTCAATATGTGCTCTGTGTAATATTGATCTTCATGGTAGAACATAGCAATGCAAAATGCGTTTTACAACAGTAAAAGTCATTCATTTTCTCACAATTATGAACAACATGCACATGGGTCACACGTAATAACACAATAAACTGGGAAGTTCGTAGATTAATTCAACATTACTAACATGGTAAATAAAGTAAAAATGTCTTTGCATTTAAATACCGTATTTTCATGCAGATTTACAACAAAATATATTTTTTGTGTGGTATTGTGTTACTATTCCTTTTTGTTCCTTTTCCAAGTTCATTCTCTAATCAATAATTTATATTCGCGCAAGAGCTATGATCATTAGATGGGGGTCGAATGGAGGTCTATTGCCTAATATGAACAGACGATTGATAGATATAGTCAAGATCTCTTTGACAACAAAACAAAAAGCTTAAATGAACTTCATAATTAATTATTTTCTGTGTCAGCCATCACAGAACCTGGCTACGCAACATCTTAGGACATTTAGAAAACTCAATAAATTATAACTATGCATTGTCAACGATTTTCTATCAGAAGAAAATACTCGTTAATTTATCACCAAATTTAATAGACGAATAAAGTTTCGAGCCTTGAGAAAATGTTAGTGCGTTTCTGAAAATGCGCAATTTTGAGCTAATTTTCACAGAAAAAGTTTTGAGTTTTGGAGGAACTTCATAAGAAATAATTTGAAGCACTTGTACTCATAACTTAAATCATGCAAAAAATACCCTTAATGTAAACATTAACGCCGTGAGTGGCATACAAAAAAAAACGTAATTGTTGATAAATCTAAAGACGACATTAAAATGACATTTATGTTCTGTTAATCAGTGCATGTAGCATTGTTCATTACAAAATCAAAGAAAAAATTGGGACCATTTTTGAGAAAATCGTGTTTTAACGTTGCCTTTATTTCATTTAAATCTACTGGAAAATTTTTCATATTGAAAAAAGTATAGACTGTCCTCATTTAAAGATCGAATTTTAACGATCAGATTTTATTCTGAGGAAAAATCTCAAGCTTTAATACTATAGTAGTAGGAAGACGTCAGAATTTTCAAAAATTCACATATGTCAACAAATCTGCCGACCTTCACGGTATCCAGGGACAGAGTTTAATAAAAAAAATTGGAGTCATTTTTGAGAAAAAATGATAATGTTCTTGAAGCGTCATATAAAGTAATTCCAAAAATTGGAAACTTCAGTTTCAAATTCCAGGGGCGACGGCATTAGCCAGATCGAAGGGGAATATCAATTTTGATGAAAATCCTGCTTACGATTCACCCGCAAGCATTGTTCACAGGCACAGGACAGACACATGTAGTCCCAAATCAGTTTATTGGTATCAAGGGCCCACTATATCTGGATTCCAAATACACAACCTGTTAGACAAAGTACTTTACTAGAGACAGGAACAAGAATAAACCATGTTTTTAGTATTAGGAATCTACAATAAGAATTCTTCTACAGAAAATGGGCTTTTTTCACTGTTGCATTACATAATTTTCTCTACTCAAGTAGTATGTAAGAAAGTTAAAAGACACTTTTTCCTATAGCATTACAACACTTATTCCAACAGCATTATATTATGCACATAAATAAAGTCAAACTAGCTAGATCTGAAAAGAAGAAACAATAAGAAGTTGCCCGAGCAGAACTATATACCAAACAAGAAAAGATATGGTGACAAGTCTTCACTAGACTAGTCACCATATCACCAGTTTCTCATCAGCCTAGTGAAGACTTGTCACCATATCACCAGTTTCTAGAGCAGACTAGAGTGGCCTAATTCTTGCTCATGATGATGACGATGATATGTAAAAATGCCATTTACTGCATACAATTACTATTAAATAGGTCTTACATTTATTCAAAATATTTAGTTAACTCTTTACCTGCAAATTATTCTACTAGTCATGGCATAAAAAAATATTTGTGCCTTTATACTAAAACTATACTGTATTTATGTGAAGGGATTCTAGAAATATCACATTGAAAACAATATTCACTAATACTTCAATTGACACTTTTAAAAGCAAAGTTGTTCCTTGGGGGGTATTATCCCATGGTGTCACGATGAGTGAGAAGCAAATGTATAATTCGGCTGCTTACAAGTAAAAAGCTTTTAAATATGCAATAGAACATGATAATTGTGCAGCAGAACGGAAGTTTGGCTCACTACCCACTGAGATAACTATACATGATTGGTATTTTAAGAAGAGGAAAAGCTCATTCTTTCTCTGAAAAATAAATGCATTCTTTGTGGGATGGAACTTCAGTGGCTAGATGTTGAAAAATAATTGTTAGATTGGGTTTTGGACAAGGGTAAAACAGGAATTTGTATTTCTACAAAATTGAATATTACAGAAGCCAAAAGAACTGCAAGAAGAAAGAATGCTGAAAATTTCTTTGGGCCAACAAGATGTAGAATATTTATGAAAAGGCATGATGCAAGGACTACAATATCACAGACTCAGCAGAATACGATAAGATCAATGCTTTTCACAGGAAGGTTATTGAAGCAAGAAAAAATAATTTGAAATGCTGGAGATTGCAAACCAACCAAAAATGTGTAAAAACTGTTAATATTAACACTACTGGATGAAAAAACACACTACACTTGCTCTGGCCTCTTGTTCAGAGGGTACAAAAGTGGTTCCATTTTCATGTTCTTGTGCACCGCAAAGACTGGGTGGATGAAGAAGGTTTGAAAATATGGTTTAATAAAGTGTGGAAAAAAGGCCTAGAGATCTTACAAAAACAGGTTTGCTAATTTGGGATCTATTTCGTGCGTATTTGACTGATTTCATCAAACAAACATTAACCAAAATGAAAATTGAAACTTCAGTTATTCCAGCAGGTTTCATGTATCAATTGCAGACTCTTGACATATCTATAAACAAGCCTTTCAAAAAAAGCTACTACACTTGATGTACCTATAAACAAGCCTTCCAAAGCCTACTATCTTTTTCATGTAATCCTCAAATATTCATCTTTATAAGTCACTGATTTAGCTATAAAAATACATGTTTATTGTATTAAAAAAAAATAATTCCTCAAAAATTATGAAGGTAATTAATACAAAAGAAACACGTCCAAGCATTTTTAAAATAAATATTGTGAAAACTTTACTTCCATACATTTTTATCTTTATGTACATATATCTTTTGGAATCACATTTTAAAATTAATTAACAAATTGAAACAGGTATTTTATAAGATGAATATGCACCATAACTTGCTCCCATATGAAATAGCACATATTCTATAAGCTGTCAAATCAATTTCCACACACCTGAGCATTTTAAAATAACAGGTGAATGTAGTATGATTGGATTATTTTCAAAATATTACATTGTTTACACTCATTAAAGTTTTGGGCTTAATTTTCGATAACTATAACATAAAATGAATGTACACATAATCTACAGATAAAATGAATGTACAAATAAACACAAAAGAATGTATCTATGAAATTTCAAAATAAACTGTTTGAAAACTTCTCAGATGTGAATTTGCTGTTACCTGAAATTTAACAACACTTAATGTTTTCATATGGTTCCTTTGGATCTCTACAAGATCCAGATACAAATTTGTTCTTCATTTTGGTTAAGCAAATCTTTGTTTTCCAACTAAATTCCATTTAAGAAAAATTGTAACTAAGGTTATACTTGAACACTTAACAGAAGTGAAGTTCTTTGGTGCAAGTAAATTTGCAAACTTAACTGAAGTGCAATCAAATACTTCTCTCTAATACGTTCCATAATCACAAATTGACAACCGCCAAATTCTTGTCGGTTTCAAATCATATTTACACAATAAAATTAAACAAGTCTTTTTTCCTTGCAAACCTATTTCATGAAAAATAAAAAACAAACACTTCATTGTTTAAAGAAAAGTAACGCAGACCAGGGGCTGTGAAAGAGGGGTGATAGAGACTGCAAAAGCAACCCTTTTTTAATTTTGGAAATTATGCTACAACCACTGAACTTTCAACCATTATTCAGTATTTTTAACTTTTTTGAGTTCAAAATTTGTTTTTCTTCTCAATACGACCACTTAACACTTTAGCTGTAGTTACTTAGCTGTTTGGGAGATGCAGCAACCTAGGCATAGGTGCCAAAGTTTCGGCTACCATTCTGCGTCCTTCGTTGGGGTGAAATGCATCCTTGACCATTGTGCGACCTCCCTCAGGGCAATTTGTGTCTAAGGCACAGGGCGTCTCCCAGACAGCCAAGTAGCTAATGACTTCAGCCACAGAAGCCTATGCTCTCTTACAAAACACTTTGCATAACATTTCACGATTAGTCTTGCAATAATGAGTCTCTCAACTCTTTAGAAAAGTAAATACCTTTCCTAGAATGATGTTTAAGAATTATCCTCTCGCTATTGTGAAATATGATCAGATTTATTTTGTGTGACTAATAAGTTCCAATTAACCCACTAATTTGTTGTATTTATGGAATTTACAACTTCAGAAATTATTTGGATTTTTCCAAACTCTATTCTCTTCTCCCCCTCAAAGCTCATGTAACATTTTAAAACTAACAACCCTTCTCATTATGATTCCACAGTCTCTTCACATGATTCACAGACTGCAAGGTAAGGTAAATAAACATCTGGACATCCAAATTAACAGAAAAAATCATGACAAGCGTTTCATACAGAAAGCTTTTGTGGTTTCAGTTTCAATCTGTCTATAACATATTGGGGCATGCAGTATGTAGGATTAATGGTCTTAACACTTGTCACTCCTAGGAGTGACAGCGCAGCTAACCCAAATAAAGTGTGGAATGGATCTGGCATATCTCCAGGACGATCACTAAATCCTCCTGTCTCAGTGTCTTGACAGGCAAGCACAAATCGAATGAGGGCATCTCTTTGGATCCAATGCAGTCGTCCCAACATACTCAATGAAGCCAGCACCCACCATGAGTAACAAACATCCGGTAGCTTCTCTGGGCGACCATTCAGCCCCCCAGAAGGCAACTGCCGCTCACAAAGCCACCAGCCCAACAAATCGGCGTCAACTTTATGAAGATATCCTACAAAAGAAAACAGGGAAAAGCAAACTTTAAATTAAACAAACCTTTTAATATATACCAGTTAGCGCTCAAAGAAATGATCATTTTTTTAAAACTTTTAAATTCCCTAAATTTGATATTTTTTAAAAATGTTAATTAAATAGAATTAATTTGAAAGTAAAAGTAAAACAAAATTCATTGATCAATAATTTAAAAAATTGCTTATTGAATACTCTTGATATTTTCCACCACAATATTTTTTATTAATTCAAATTTTAAAAAAGCAAATGGGGGTACTAGTGAGATTATGGATATCCATTAAGAGATGGATTAGCTATTTTGGACACCACTAGCCACAAGAGTTCAAAAATGACAACTATGTGCAGATGCCTTTTATAGATGACCTGTAAGGTCCATATTTGTACTAACGAGATTGACCTAAAAGTAGCCCCCACCATTCATTCACATATTTTATTAACATTTAACAACATTGGTCGGGATTGGAACCCTTGTTAAATGAAATTTATAAAAAACTTGGCAAAAATTTTCCACATTATCAGTGTCACTTGCAAAAATAACTTCAATTTTCTCTTGTTCATTGTCTTCTTCACAATCCAAGATAGATATATTGGATGACTTAAAATTTTAGCGACTTTCCAAGATTTACTCTCTTAAAGCAATACATTTTGTAATTTTTTAACTCATCAGTAAAGGGAGGATTTCAATGAAATGTCAATCCTTTTTTCCTTTCCACTTTAGAACAATACTGTTTAGTATAGAAATTCATTTTATGTTATAATGAAACAAAATTTTCCATTTTTATAAATAATTTTTTTTTTTGCCTTTTTCATTGATTTTGACTAATAAGTCTGTTTTACTCTTTTACTGCATTTATGTGATTAGAAAAGCAGAAAAAATAAAATTTTTACAAGAAACACAGTAGAAAAACAATAGACATGGAAAATAAAAAAACAAACAAAAAACATTACAACCAAATGAAAAACTATCATCCTATAAAGAAATTTTCATGGTTTAACTATTTCAATAATGAATTCAGTTTTTATGATTAGAAAAAAACTTGTTTTGTTTTTAAAACAATATCAAACAATGCTGAATAATTATTTTAAAGTTTCAGTTTTTAAAAATGTATCAAACTTTTCATCAACCTATAACTGACTTGTAACATATAATTTTTTACCTGTAATTGATAACATGCCAACACAGCAGTAGATAAGTCCAGCATGACTTTCAGCACCTGGCCGAGATCCAAATCCTCCATCAAAATTCATGCATGAGAGGACGAACTCTACAGCCTTTTCTACATCAATTGCATCTAATCTTCCCTACAAGAAAGAACATTTCTTTAGAATTACTCAGCATCTCTCACAAATAAAAAAATTCTAAGATTAAGGAATTAACTCTTTCACCCTATATAATTTAAAATAAATCCCCTTACTTCAATACTTACTTAATATTCCCAATAAGTTAATAAAATAATTGTTATTCTACAAAATTTCACCCACTTTATTTTTTTCAATTCTCTCTACATTTAAACTACTTTCAGTCACATTTATTTGCAGATTCACGTTAACATAAAAGAAATTACTTGTCATTTCTCTTATGAAGATTGTAGATAGAAACAATTACTTTCAAGAATGATTATACCCCCAATACTTGTGTTGTTTCATTAACAAATTATTAATATTTGTTTTATTTCTACTGAAAAGGTACACATTTTCATTAATAAAAGAATCATAAATGTTGAAAATACTAACAAGAAGAGAAAGGCAGGCTACAGCACAAAATGAGAAGCGTGTATCAACTTCACCCCATTTATCACCCCAAAAACTACCATCAGGTTGCTGCAAACTCTTCACATACTGCACTATTTTATCAATAGAAATGACATCAACAGCGTCGTACATAGTCAGAATCTGCAAAGAGACAAAGTTAATTAATAGTGAATATTTAGATGTAATTAGATAATAGGTATACATTTTACTGATTGCTTATACTTTTCAAAACAAATTTTCTCAGCAGATCTTCACATTATGCCATGATTACCTGAATGCCACTGAGTGTATAGAGCAAATGAGGATCATGGCCCACACTCGCAGACAATCCACCTGATTCATCCTGACAAAGTTTTATAAAATCTAATATTTCTTGTTTATTCATCCTTTCAAGATTACCCATAAGTTCTATAGCAGTCAAACCCCAGTAGATACCAGACATTCTGAGATATTCAGTCATACAATATTCCTGAAATCAAAATTCCCACATTAATCAAAATTGAGGTCCAAGATAAAAGACATGTATTCAACAACACACATCCTCATACCTACATATTCATCCTTATTTACTCCATATGATGCTATATAATCAGCATGTTTAACAAGAAGCAATTCTTTGGGGTGACTGTCATTAAGGGAGACATCCTTCAGTAAGGTAGCCTGCACAAAAGAGTAGTTCGCATAATTTTTAAAATAATATAAATTTAACATGTGTCATAACATGGCACTATGTCCATTATAACTCACCATTGCTGCGTTGTTAGAAGCAGAAATTCCTGTTGAAGTTACAGAGTGTAAATGATAGACGAATGAAGAATTGGTTCACATAGTTTACAAAGCGCAAACACCTAACCTAGTTTCTCATCAAAAATCGAATTAACACTCCAAACTCAAAAGAGCTGGTTGTAAGAATGAGATTTCTTACAACACAGTAAAAATTGTAATAAAAAATCTATAAAAATAATTCGTTATAAATAACAAAACATCAAACTGTATACCCTAATGGTAAATTCGTTGTGACACACAACGCACACAACATACAAATATCGATATAGTTGGATATACTCGATATATTGTATAACGAGCGATACAGCAGAGGTGTAATCGAAAGTAGTGCTTATCGACGTCATAAACGATATGTCTTTAGTGGCGCTTACATAAATGTTGTTCCCTACAGTTGAAAAAAATATCAATCTCATTCATTTCCCTCTGTTCCACTACGATAGGAGTTAAATAATCCTATGACCTGTAGGAAAGCTTTTCTTGGTTCAAGCAGCAAATGGTGGAACCATAACTACGTCTTCAAACCCTTCTAGGGTCTTGTACCTTAACCCAATACGTTAACTACGATGTAAGAAAATACAATGTATCTTACACGGTGGAGTTGACTCATCATTCCGTAAGCGGTGATGGAAAGCGGAAAGTGGTGATTTTTTCTTCTCATGAGGCATTCTGTTTCGTTGTTCAAATAAAAATGGCGCGTTTTTTATTATTTAAAAGAGTATTCATTATAAAATGCGCTGGGCAAGCTCAAAAATCTTTTATTTTAATTGCGTGACCAGAGGCAAGTTAAAAAATGTTCGACAAACACACCCACGCGCGCGGATACACAATCACGTACGCAAAAAACAACACAACCGCACACACATCTAACTAAACACGCTCTCACGTGCGGGCGGGCGCACCACATAAACAAATAAGTTATTTCTCACTTATTTCAAACATAACAAACACAAGTTCTTATTGCTCTTATTGTCAATAAAATTCTTCTTAGTAAGATTGACGTAATTGCTTAAATGTAAAATTTGGTGACATACAAAGTGTAAGATCACCTTGTCAGCAAGTGAAAAAAGAATTTGTATTCACTACTCAGATAACTTAGTATCACAGTATTATGCAAATAATTTATTTGCCATACAGATTTAACGTACAGAACTGAAAAAAATGTAATAAAATCTGAAAACACATTATCAGAAAACATTATTTACTAGGCTGTCCGGGTGACGACGCGTCCATGGCGAAGGTGCCGACGTTTCGGTCGCCATTCTGCGACCTTCCTCAGGGCATTAAGCCCGTCACCCGGACAGCCTAGTAAATACTGACTCCGGCCGCGGAAGCCTACGCTCTCATCGGAAAACATGTTTGCATGATCTGAATGATTTTAAATAGTTTACTCTCTGTATCTTTTGTAACAAATATCTCAGGTAGGCACAGCCTTGAAGTATCGATGAGAGGGGGAGGACAATATTTCTGGGTTTTGCTGAGGTTTTACTGAACATTAACTTTAAGTGCATTTTTGACATGTATTTTTGGGTGGTTGTAGGAGGGATTGACTCTGGAGGCATTTTTTCAGAATAGTTTCTTAAATAGTTCCATATTTTTAACTGTTTTTTACCAATTTCGGATTTTTTGATATTTTTAAGGGGATTCAAGAATGGTGAACTGATGGAGTCTTTCAAGGGTAAATTTTAAAATTTCTTCAAATTTTCATTCCAAATTGCCCAGTTTTGCTCCAGGCGGTAGTATGAATTGTACAATTTCCAATTTTGTTCATAGTTTGGGGAAAATTTAACACATTTGATGCTGATGCTGATGCAGCCACGTGGTTAACTCCTGTGTCCTGGGCAATATAACTGTTATTCAAAAGTTGTAAAACAAAAATTATTGTACACATTGGTTGGAAATTGATAAAATCTTATAGTATTGTCTTATCTCTTTATGTCTGTATGTATTTTATTTTCATTTAATTATAACATGGAATGGAATTCAAAGAAACACATGTCAATTTCATATTTTTGCAAAATGTAACAATGTTACAAAACATGAGGGGAAACACAAGTGTACTTGTGTTTCAATTGTACTGGTCAACTATAATTATATTTTGTTTATGTTCAGATATAGTTCCATTTGCATATCTATTTATTTCTGCCTTTGATTTTCATCATTTACTGTGGTAAAGAAATGATGGAAAATAGTCTGGTTCATTCATTTACTGGAAATTTTATTTTTCTGGTTTTCTCAAACATTGGTAATTCAGATTGTTTATCAATTTCACAGCAATCTAAAGGAAATGTAAACTCTTGAATTTGAGAAAACTAACCAATAGAATAATTCACATCATTATTACTCTCTTCGATATAATTTTCATTGCTCAAAATAGACAACAGTTCAGGTTGACATCCTCATTGACATCCTCATAAGAAGAATCCAGTTTTCATCTATTATTCACAAACTCTTGAACTTCTAATGTTAGGAGCTGCTGCAAATTTTACATCTATATCTTCTAAACACCTGTTTTGCTACACATGCTTTACTAAATTATTCGAGAAAGTAATAGCAGTCAGAATGTACAATTTTTTGGAAAAAAACAACCCGTTAAGTAATGAACAACATGGATTCAGGAAGGATAAATCCACTATTACTGCAGTTGCTGATTTTATTCATAAAATAATAAATAATCTAGAAAATAACTTTTTTACTGCAGGTATATTTATGGATTTTTGGCAGTGGAAGGCTTTTGACAGTGTGTCACATGAACTACTTGTAAAACTAGAACATTTTGGAGTAAGAGGCAATATCTATCAACTGCTAAGGTCATCCTGAGTTCCGCAAGGATCAGTATTGGGACCACTACTATTTCTAAAATAAATGAATGACATTCCATCATCAAAAATAAACTGATATCATACACAGATGACACAATGTTAATCAGTAGTAATAAAGACATAATAGCATTAAAAGAAAATATGTCAGATGGAATGCATCAAATTTCTAGATATCTAAGTTACAATAATCTAAATTTAAATATTTTGCTAACAGTGCGAACACTACATACAGAGAAAGATATTCTGGATGTAATCAACAGTACCCGCAAGTATGAATATCCAATTGCTTCCTGGAAATATTCCAAATACTTGCACAAAATAGAATCACACATTGGTGTTTGTCCTGTGGCCACCTTAATGATATTAAAAAGCATATTCTAAGTGCCTACAAACATCTGAAACATTTTTATTGCCAGTCAAAAATGACATATGTCCATAGGCCATGTCAGTAAAATGACTCTGACATATCAGATATGTCCCTAGGATCAGAAGTGTTAAGAATGTTTTGTATATTTCATTCCACAGTTTTTATGTAATATATTTAATATAATTTCATGCAGTACATAAAATGACGTCAAAACTTGCTCAAAGTAACAAGTCTGTTATATATCTGGGAGATTGTCTCATTGTCTCTATTCTTGCAAATTATATAATGACCACATTCAATTTCAGGTAACTCAGCTTCAAAAGCGACATTCAGATAATTAAAATTATAAAACACATTCAACATGTGCAATTATTTTGCAAGTTTTGACATATATTTACTATTGTTTGCAAAAAATAAAGTCATAAATGAACATAAAAGTTAATATTAAAAAAAAAAGGACTAAAGAGGTCAAAACTACTGCACAACACTGCTGACTTTTTAAACTAAGTTAAAATAAATGAAACTTCAAATTTTTTAACTCCAGGCAATAATATTTACTCAAAAATACACAGTAACAGCATATTGATAGACTCGTGCATTCTTCTATTTGTCATTAATTAACATTTAGTGTATCTTTATGCTAAGTATATAATTTTTAATCAGAGATTTAACAAGCTTAGGAAAATAAAATATTAAATTACAGAACGACGTGGGCCCTTCTAAAGTAGAATCTAAAACATTGCATCAAGCTCTATCAAGGTCTGTAATCTGATGAGTTTGAAAAGAGAGTTTCTTCATTCCCCAAAATGGTTCTCAATACAAAAAAATCTTCTTTGAGATGACTATAGAGAATGTGCAGTGTCCTGTTGAATACTCTTGGGACAAACTCCATTAGAGAGTTTGTTTGCAAAAGCCTGAACTATTTCACAAAGCCAACTGGATATCTATAATTCTTTACTTGGCAAAGATGTATTCTTTTAGTAAACATCGGGAACATGACAATGATAAAATACAAAAACTGGATTAAATATGATTGTTCAATGTTTTAATTTTTGATTTTGGCGCTTTAATGGCAAATTTTCCTGTTAAACCATATGTGAAACTTCTCAAACTCTCTATTAGGACCAAAAACAATGGAAATTGATAATTGAAAAAGTAGCAGCCTTCACATATCTTGGCAAAACACATCACTGAGAGAGGAAGATATTGAAGCTGGCAAAAACTGGCAAAAGATCAATGGCTGCGTAAACAGACACTTCCGAAACATGATCAAAGAAACAAAAATAAGAATCCACAACATTGGCAAAACCAAACTTACAATACTGCAGCAAAATGTGAACACTCAAAGTGACACACAGAGAATAGAAGTAACTTGAAAGAGAGGTAGGTATCTAATAGCAGTACCACAAGTAACAAGAAAAGACAAAATAAGAAATAAAGTAATAAGGAAAACACTAGCAGGAGCAATATTTTGAATTAAAGTACATAGGCACCTAAGGAGGAGGTAGATACAAAACATGGATTAGAAGAAGAGAGCACTAGTTGTTTCTCTAAAATAGAATACTCCTAGTTATCTTTAAATGTAAACATTAATATGAAATAGAAAACTTTCAAAGAACTATTACTTTGACATGTTGAAATACTGGGACAAATATAAAAGAAGGAACAGGGAAGAACTAATTGGAATAAAGATGTTATGAACAAAGAAAGGAGGCAAACTTGCAAAACATTCACAGTCCTACGTACTCTAAAAAAAACAAATTAAATATATTAAATATTGCAGATTGTTAGTTGAAGAGATATGTAAAATATATGTATTGTCAAAACAAGGAAAGATTACTAAGTGTAGTGGAACATGAATTTAATGAAATGAAACAAATGTATCATAAAATAAGGAAAAACAGAACAGGAACTGGAAACTTTATGAAATGCAATTTTGTATTTCAAATAAGTGATTCAGTACAGCATTGAATATAAACAATGTGCAATTGGCTGATATTTAGGAAACAAAATTGTTGGGACTCTCAATTCAGTTTATCTAATATTGAACGGCTGTATAAATTAATTTAACTCTAAATTAAGTTCCTAATGCTTTTCATTCAGAATTTTTTCAAATAATTATTTATAAAAAGTATAATCTTTATTTATTTTATTAATGTAATAAAGACTAATATATTGCTTTCCTATTCTTTCAACTGACTTTAAAAGAGGTTACACAATTTGTTATGTATTTCTATATTTATTATGTTTGTTCAGTAATAACCTTCGCAAATGCATTCTACTTTAAATGATTCTTCTTTTGCCTTAATTCTCTGATGGGAACATCTGCCTCACAGGCAGACAGTTTCTATTGTTATCACTGGGAGTACTATAAGTACATTCTTCTCAAGTGCTTAGAATTTTTGAGAAGAGAGCATTATTGCAGCTGTG